GGTCAAATAGAGCACAGACCCAGCAGTGGGGGTGGGTTAAGAGCAGGAGGTGATTAAGACAGGGGCCACTGGCCACTTGGCCTCTCCCCTGGGCAGCACGGGATCTGTGCAGGGTCCCTGGGCCCTAGGTGGGGGCAGGGGGGGGGGTGGGAATGGGGGTAGAATACTCACGTTTCAGAGACTCGGATGTAGTTAGGAGGACACTCAAAGCGCAGGCAGCGGAAGCTGCCCTGGATGTTATGGCAGGTCTCAGCCTCGGAACAGTTGTGCGTGCCCAGTGCACACTCATCCAGGTCTGAGGGAAGGAGAGGAGGGTGATGGGAGGGATCTCCCATGGCTGGGGACCCTACTCCGAACCACCCAGACTACAAGAACACAGCTCACAATTCCACCCTGTGCCATCTTGTCCCCTCCACATCCGGCAGCCAGAAGGCCTTGCTTTAAAATATAAATCATCTTTTGTCATGTTCTCTGAGGGCTTCCCATGCTCCCCAAATAAAAACCCAAGTCCCTCTTAAGGACCCAAGCCCTACAGTACAGAGCCTCTGGCTCTTTCCTACGCCTCTCTCCTTTCACTCAGGCTGCAGTCCTGTGAGACTCCTCTGCGCTGCTCCAGTGCCCTGCCCTTATCCCACCTCAGGGCCTTTGCACCTGGTAGCCCTGCTGCAGGAACACTTCTCCCGCATCTTCCCACAACTGGCTCCTTCTCATCCTTCAGGCCTCAGCTCAAGGTCACCCCTACAGGGGTAGCCCTCCCTGACTACTTCTATCACCTGGCATCCCATCCTATTTATTCTCCTCCTAAAATTATCCTCAAAAAGAGAGCTTGTCCTATTCTCAAACACACCTAAGCTGTTTTGTATGTCTGTTCTGTTTCTACCCTTCCCCCACCTCAGTGTGAGTTCCAGGAGGGTAGAAGTATGTATGTCTTTCTCTGTCCTGTGGTGTCCCCTGGCACAGAGCAGGTGCTCTACACATATTGTTGGATGGAGGTGCAAGACCTGTCACCTGTAAATACAGACTTCGAGATGCACGGCTCTAAATGCGCCACCCCCGTCGCCCCCATAAACTGCACAGGCATGCTCATGCTTCCTGTACACTCAAAGAAATATGGTTGAACACTTGCATATGCTAAAGCACACCCACACAGACACACAGAGACAGACAGACAGACAGACAGACACACACACACACACACACACACATACGGAGGGCCCATTCAAGACACTGAAACACACACACACTATGTATGAAAAGGGGGGCCACATACTAAACCTGAGCTCAGGGAAAGCCTGTGTCATGGGCCTTAAGAACAAAGATAACCAAAGGGAACCATGTAAGATAGTCTGAACAGAAAAATTCTAACTAAAAGAGAGTCATGGCAGGTAGTCACAACCTAGGCATGTAGCTTCCTTGACAAAGGTCAATCTTCACCTTAGTGGGCCTGTCTATTGCCTTTCTGCACCCAAGATAACATATCTTTGACATGTCAGAGTAATCACCTTTTCCAGACCTCTTGGGGCACAACCTCCCATGAGAGCACAGAACCCTAAATTTTTGTCTTGTTCCTCTACCACCAGTGGATTTCGTGTAACTCTCCTTACATTTCCTCCTTTTATTCTGAGGTATAAAATAAGCTGCAAAACTACCATCTCCCAGAGCATTTTCTCAATCCATTAAGATTTTGCTTCCTAGAGCAATTTTCATCAGTTTGGCGCAAATAAACTAATAAAAACATCTACAGATTTGGATGTTTCTTACATTGATAACACACATATTAATATCTCTGACAAAGATCAGAGAAGTAAGCATGTGGTACAAGTGTGTGTGTGTTCCATGGACAACCTATGGATCAAATGAGTGAGTTCGAAAGACCTTTCCTGTGAAAACCTGCTGTTCAGCTCAGAGAGGGCAGCCTTAGGAGGCCCCAGGGTCTGTACAAGGTGTGGGAAAACACAGGTCTGTCAGGTACTTTCCTAGAGGGCTTCACATTTTGTTCTCCAGTCCTTCACACTGACTCAATTTAGGAATTTCTCCTCACTCAATCTTCACCCTAGACCAATGGGGTGAGGGTCACAGGCCTCCCCACAGGAGGGAACTGAGGCTCCAAAGGGGCATAGCATCACTCAAAGTCAGGCAGGACTCAGCAGGGCAGGTGGGGCTGGAAGCCAGGTCCACCTGATGCCAAAATCTGGGATCCAATCATGATGCCAACCTGACTCCTAACAACAGCAGCTACAACAAAATAGTATCGACAGCAGAGCCAACCTGCATCCCCGACTACCATACTCTATAATGGCAGAGAAGCTCACATTCATTCACCTCTCAAAGCCTCACTTTCCTCCTCTGTAAAATGGGTCATGACCCCAATTTCCCAGAGTGGGACAAAAGCAAGTGGGAAAAAACATGGTAGGAGGCCAGAGGTGGTGGAGCTAGAATAGGCATGGTTGTTGTCCTGATGATTCATTAATTGAATCCATACAAAGGGAGGACCTCCATCTGTTCCTCACTCTGCTCTGGGGCCACCCACATTAGGAGCAGGAAGTCCTGGCCCTGGAGCCTAGGTGGGGGTGGAGTAGGAATGAGGTGGAAACAGTTTCTTACTGTCTGCCCTGGGCCAGTGTTGACAGCAATGTCCAAGAATGGCAGGAGGAGCCCCAAGGGTCAGCAGCAACACCAAGGAAACTATTGTAGTATTTCCCTAGGACCTCAGGGTCCTTGCCACTTGGTGCTGCCAGGCCCTTGGTATCTGTGGCGCCTTGACCTGGAAAGTTCAAATCAAAACGAGAGTTCAACAAGGCCACATACCCAGGGGGTGTCATTGCAGCCTCATCTGGGATGGCAAGGTACCAGGCACAGCTCAGATGTGCAGAAATGGAGGCCAAAATCAGTGGTAAGACTAACAGCATTGCTAAAAGCTAGCCCTAAGGGGAATACTGATAAGGGCCTTACATACACTTAAAAACAAAAACAAAAACAGGATTCAGGGTTATTTTCAGCATGATCTTAGCTAATATTATATTGTGTGTGTGTGTGTGTGTGTATCTACATATGTATATATTGGCATAAACAGAGACTGGAAGAAAAACATCCAAATATAAGCAACAGTTGCCTCTCAGTTCAGGCGCGTGGTCAAACGTTCAATGAGCACCTATCAAGTGCTGGGCAATGCTTTACATGCTAGTGAACAAGAGTCATAGCCCTTCCTCCATGGAATATATGTTCTAGGAGACGTGGCCAAGCCTTAATTCCTTAATATTTTTCTGTTCCATATTTTTTTTTTTTTTTTACTATTAAAGAGAGTCAGATGCTAATGTGAGATTATTAACCAGCATATTCCTTTCCCCCATAGTCACCCTACTGTTGGAGCAGTGAGACCTCAGTGTTTGGTCCTACAAGGCCAGGGCACACAGAGTGCAACTGCTTAGCTCTGAAGGTCAGCAGCCGCAGTCACGGAGCGCCACAGTGTGACTCTAGAAGTGGATATGACCAGACAGAGCCAGCATCTCAAGCTCTGTCCTCATCCACCCTGTGACAGCACAGAGACTTTTCCAGTTTAGAGAAAATAAAAGCATCGCATGTGTGAGGGACTTTTCCCTTGCTCGAACTCCCTGGTGGTGGCTGGTAATGCAGGGTAGACTGGAGAGAGGGGACCTGTGCCTTGCCAGTTCTTCTTCATCTCAGGGAGGCGGGCCACTGGGTAGGCTATGAGGCAGCAAAAAGACAGCCATCCCCAGAAAGATGCAGAGAACTGGGTGGGGAGGGTCAGCATCGGCAGCTGTGGGGTCTCATGGCCAGAGATCAGCGCTGGCAGTCAAATGCTCCTATGTTAAGTACACATCGGGTGCAGGGAGCCCTCAGGGAACAGCACAAGCACACTCCGGGAACTCCTCTGACCCTGGCTAGCATGAGCCAAGGAAGAGGGGTCAGGGAGAGACCTTCCTGAACATGACCGGGTTTCCAACCTGAAGTGCCTTCAAGAGCAAAAGTCACTGCCGTGCTGATGAATCTCCCCAGAAGTGACCACACTTTGTGTTCTGCTATCAAAGAGAACAAGGCCTCAGTCTCAAAAATGAAATCACATTCTAGAAACATAAGGTATTTCCCACACAACTCGGTTTATGGCGGGTAAAATCCCTATCTTTTACAGGGTCCATACTGATTATTTTTTAAATTAAAGAGTGCTTTGCAGCCCGGGAGACCCAGGTCAGCTTCTGTGAGCCCAGCAAGGCTTCAAGTCCCTGATTTAACTGATCTCATTCAGAGCCTTTTAATTTATTATTTTTTTTATATCAACCTACAGTAAGGAATCCTTTTGCATTTGAGACTAAGTATGTACATGTGAACTGAAACAATCCTTATGGGCACAGTGTACTGACCGACATCATGTCCAATCTATCTTACCCTATATTCTGTTCTATATTTAAAAAAAAAAAAAAAAAAGCTGGCTGAGGTCTACCAATTTGATCTTGGGATCCATTTACAGGTAGGAACTGCCAGCCCAAACAACACTGGTCCACCCTTCCAGGTACCAACCCTGACCCCTGGTACCCCAGGAACACCAGGGCCTGCCTTAGTGGACCAAAACTGCAAGCCAGGGACCTCTGGGCTCTTAGCTCCACTACCTAGGAAGACTCAGTCATGCAAGCCAGGAGAAGGGCAGATGGGCTGGGTGCTGAGTAGTTGGTTCTCCAAGGGGAATGCTGGTACCCCTCCTGTATCCTGTCCCAGTTGGATTCCAGGCCCCTCCACTTTGCCCTGGTGGCATGCCAGGCCTAGAATTTAGTGGCCTCAGTATATGTCAGTGGAATTAAACTAAAGATCATGACTCTCTCACTTAGAAGGAATTTTAGATGCCAGAGAACCTGGTTTTCCCTCTAAGGAAGTAGTCTCCTCAGTGCAAATATAACAGGTAATTACCAACCCCCTCTTTGCAAGTCTCCAGGGATGGGAAGCCTCATTCCTTTCATGCAGCCCTTCCCAGCTCTGCACATCTCCAACTGGGAGAGTGTCTTTCTGCACGTCGTTCTGGAATAAGCCTCTCTGAGCCTTTTCTCTACCCTTGGGGTACCACCTTACCCTTTCAGTCCAAAGACCTACCTGACCCCATCCCTGAAGAGCACAGCAGACACTTGGGGACAGAGTCTGGGACCCCTGAGGCTGCTCCTCTGCAGTTTTTTCACTGGACAGGTCTCTGATATCTTTTAGAACCACCCCACAGGATCCCTGCTCTGTTCCCAGGGCAAGGCCCAGAGCTGAGTCCAAGCCTAGAAGATCCTAAGCTAGGTCAAGCAGCAAAAAGACTGTCACATTCAGCATTCCAAGCACAGACCACCAGAGGCACTGGCCATTTTGTGCTTATACACTTGGTGTCAGAGTTCCAAATACATAGCAAGCTGTGTGAGGTTACGCCTGCTCAGAACCTGCCCGAGGCTCTGGTAGGCAGTGACCCCTTGCTCACCCTTGCAGGACCTTCCATTGGCCGTCATGGTGTAGCCCCGCTCTGGGCATGCACACTGGTAACTCCCCGGCACGTTGACACAGCGGAAGGTACAGAGGATGCCGGCACCCTGAGCACATTCGTCGATGTCTGCCAGAGAGAGAGGTTCAGCCCTCGTGAAATCTACCTAACCACAGGGCCCAGCCGCTAACACTCTTGCTGTCCCTGCCACAGCCATGGAGGTTAGGGGCCCATTTTATAGATGAGGACAATAGGGCTCAGAGAAAGACAGTTGCCCAAGGCCAGACTACAAAACAGGACTCTCATTCCAGTGCTTGCTCCCTAGGGCTGCTCCACAATTACTACTATCATCAGAGGGTCAATCAAGTACCAGACACAGCCTGGATGCAGTCAATATTCAACTGAACACTTCAGCCCACTGAGGTCAGGACCATCATCTTCGCTTTGCGGAGTAGGAGCCTAAGGTCAGACCAGGAAGTCTTTGCCTAAAGTCACAAAGCTAGGAGGTCACAGGGATGAGATTCCAAGTCTGATTTGACGATAAAGCCTCTGTGTGTCTGGGAACCTGGTACACTGGAAAGGGGTGCCTCTCAGGAAAAGGCCCTGGGCAGAGGAGAGGTACCTATGCAGGTATGCCCATCTTCAGTCAACTGGTAGCCTTGGCGGCAGTAGCACTGGTAGGAGCCGTAGATGTTGGCACATTCCTGGCTGCAGCGCTGGGTCTCACACTCATTCACATCTGCAGGAAGACCAGTCAGTGGTCATGGCGAAATCCTCCTAGCCCAAAGATGAGGGTCGGGGTCCAGGCTCATCTGGAGCCTCCTCTTGAGAGAACATTAGTTCCAGCCTCCCCTTGGGGCAATTTGAGAAATCTGAGGCCCAGATAAGTACAAGGGGCCCACCTAGGGCAGGCAGCTGAGGCAGGGGCTGGGGCTTGCTAGTCCTGGCCTAGCCTGCTGCTACCTGGAGGAAGCAGCCACAGGTCAGGTTCAGATCCTCAGGTGCTACTCTGAGGGTCCACAGCACCTGGCCCAGATGACTCTAAGTGCTAATAAGCACCTCCCCAAGCCCTGCATGATGCTGGGGGAGGCAGGCAAGTGCTGGCTTCCATGGCAGTGCGGACTGAACAATGTATGAGTGACTGACTACAGGATCACTTCACAGCTTAGATGGAATATCTACTGGACTCTGAGCTCTTCATAGGAAAAGACTTGTCTTTCAGTCATCCAACCAAGAGCTGCTGAACTCTTATGATGTGCCAGGCCTTTCCTGGGCTTGAGCATGTCACCCTAGACTGGTACAATTAGATGGCACCCATCCACAGGTGTTCTGTGGCTATTGCCCACTTTTGCCAGCGGATCCTGGGCTCTGCAGGTGGCCACAGTTCCTATCTCATGTTTTACTAACTTCTGTTCCCTGTAATTGTGACCAGGATCAGAACCTATCAAGAGCAGAGACTGGGCTGCCACCCTTGCCTGCAAGGAGCTCCCTCTGGGGTTTTAGATAACACAGACACCTACCCCTCCAGTCTAAGATAATTAGGGCCCTGGGCTGAGGCCAAAGAGGGCTTCCACAGACAGAGAAATGGAGAAGTGTGAGGTAGAGGTGTAAGGGTAGGGGCTGAGCATGAGACGGGTTTTACATGGTGGGTGCATCTGTATGGGGTCAGAGGCCAAGGTCTAAGATCAGGGTCAGTGGTACCTTCGCAGCGCTTGCCATCAGCAGCCAGACGGAAGCCAGAGGCACAGGAACAGCGGTAGGAGCCGACTGTGTTCTCGCATGTGTGCTGGCAAAGGCGGCCAGGGGAGGTCCAGCATTCATTCACGTCTGTGGGCAGACAGCAGAGGGCAGGGTGGGAAGCCTACAGGGAGGGTGGAGGTGACCTGGAAGCCAGCTCCCTCCACCCCAGGTATAAGAGGGGACTGGATGGGAAGAGGGATCCAGGAACCCAAGAGAGACAGGGAGGGACCCAGACAGGGAAAGGAAGAAGCAAAAAGACCAGAGGCAGGGGAGAAAGTCAGTAAAAATGTTGGAGGGAAGCCAGAGACAGAAAGACACAGTCACAGCAAAGGGCAAGAGAAGAGGGGACCAAGGCTGAGAGGAACAGAGACCAGAGCAGAGGGAATGGAGTCACACCTGGACAAGAAGGCAGGAAGGCAGTCAAACCCAGAAAAGGTAGACCTGGGTCAGAGCAAGGCGAGGCGGGGGAAGGTGGGAAGTGGGGGGTGGGGTTGGGAGGAGGCTGGCCTGAGGCAGGTAGGCACTGCTCAGAGAAACCAGAGAGGGGTCATGGC